AACACCCCGACTATTTTGCCCATAAATATGCGCCGATAGGATCTAAGGAACCAACATGGGTTGCAACAATATGCGCAGGGTCTTGCAGTTCATCACACGTACACCTCAATAGTCTATTTCTCAGCCATCTACTCCGTAATTGGCCGAGTCATGCTGCAGGAGAACTATCATTCTCGTGCATTCATTGGGAGGGGCTGTGGGTCCGCAGAGACCCATTCCGTTAGTGCTTTTTTTTTCTTCTTCTGCCGTCTTGTTTTGCACCGAGTCAGACTGCCATCAGCACGATAAAAGCAATGAGTCGCCCGACCGTTCTCACCCACCCCCTCAGGTGTCTTAGACAATTTCACTCTATGCGGACAGCCCGTTGGAAGTGAAAGTAGATCTACGGTCTGTAGCATTGTCTGAAGCCATGCTATGATGACGTGAATTCCTGCACCACTTTCTAAGAATACAGTCCGCAAGTAACAAACTTAAAATGATCGCGGATCTGGAACAGCATCGCGAAAAAGGTACCCTTCCTAAGGGAGTTTATCGCACCCGGATCCCCCACTGGCGCATGCTCCTCGACCAAGGCGCCATCAACGAAGAGATCCTCGAATTTGAATACCCCGGCAGTGGCACGGAGGAAGATCCCTATGTGGTCTCTTGGATTCCCAACGACTGCCGCAACCCACTGCTCTTCAGCGCGGCGCGGAAGATCACCATCACTCTGATTGTCGCCTTCTCCACCTTGACCGTCGCCCTGACCTCTTCCACCTACAGCGGCAGCATCAAGGAAATCGTTGATGATCTCCATGTCAGCTCGGAAGTCGCGACCATCGGGCTGGCGCTCTTCGTGCTGGGGTTCGCGGTCGGCCCGATCTTCTGGGCGCCGGTCAGCGAGGTCTTCGGTCGCCAAACCCCCTTTATGGTCAGCTTCTTCGCCATGACCGCATTCTCAGCCGGGTGCGCCGGAGCGCAAAACATCTGGACACTGTGCATCCTGCGATTCTTCGCCGGATCCTTCGGGTCCTCGCCCTTCACCAACGCGGGAGGCACGATCTCGGACATGTTCACGGCGCGGCAGCGCGGTCTAGCCCTAAGTCTGTACGCGGCCGCCCCCTTCCTGGGCCCCGCCCTGGGCCCCATCATCGGCGGATTCCTGGGGATGAGCGCCGGCTGGCGCTGGGTGGAGGGTTTCCTCGCGCTCCTGGCGGCCCTGATCTGGGTCCTGATGGCCGTCTTCATCCCGGAGACCTACGCGCCTGTCCTCCTGCGGCAACGCGCCCGGCGCCTCTCCCAGCTCACCGGCCGGGTCTACCGCAGCAAGATCGAGCTGGACAAGGGCGCCGTCGCGCTGCCGCGCCTGCTGAAGACCACGCTCTCGCGCCCCTGGGTCCTGCTCTTCCGCGAGCCGATCGTCCTCCTCTTCGCCCTGTACATCGCCATCGTCTACGGCACGCTCTACATGTTCTTCTCCGCCTTCCCGATCGTCTACGAGGACATCCGCGGCTGGAACCCGGGCGTCGGCGGCCTCGCCTTCCTGGGGATCATGGTAGGCATGATCTTCGGCGTCGGCGCCACCATCCCCGCCAACCTGCACTTCATCAAGGTCCAAGACCGCCACGGGGGGTTCGCGCCCCCCGAGGCCCGCCTCCTGCAATGCATGCCCGGCGCCCTCGCCATCCCCATCAGCCAGTTCTGGTTCGCCTGGACGGACTCCCCCTCCATCCACTGGAGCGTCAGCATCATCGCTACCGCCCCCTTCGGCTTCGGCGTCATCCTGATCTATCTGGGGGTCATGAACTACCTCATCGACTCCTACACCATCTACGCCGCCTCCGTGCTGGCCGCCAACACCGTCCTCCGCTCCATCTTCGGGGCCATCTTCCCCATCATCGCCCCCTACATGTACAGCGGCGCGGGCATCCACTGGGCCCCCTCCATCCCGGCGCTTCTGAGTCTGTTGTGCATGCCAGCCCCGTTTCTGTTTTACCGGTACGGGGCGGCGATCCGGAAGAAGTGCAAGTTCGCCGCCGAGTCGGATCGCTACATGCGTGCCTTGCAGGAGAATGCGGCGCGGAAGGCCCAGGTAGTTGAGACTCGGAGGCCGGTGACGGGGGAGCCGGTGGTTTCGGCGGATGGGGAGCCGGGTCCTGCGGAGGCTGTTGGGGGAGCAGGAGGAAGAGGACCAGGTGAAAAGTGATCTAGTTATTGGTTGTCAATTATTTTGATTCTCGGTCTTCTTAGTAATGGGCTGCAAGGCGTATACGGTAGATATAGACGCGGATAGAGTACACCAGGTATCCATGCGTTCCGGATACAATGCACCACGAATGGATTTGGTTCAATGGATTTAGGAGACGAAAGACAGGCAAAAAGTAGATTTTGTATCGGAGTCTTCACATGGTGTGTACTTTTGCCCTTGCGGCTATGTACTTTATTTATTTCACCAACGTAGGGTTCTAGGTCTCTATTCTTGGACGACGCGATCCCCACATGAAGCTCATTTACCAGGCAATAACATATATAGATTACAGAATCATAGGGGAGCCTGCACAACTGAGGAGCAGCAATCCAGTACAAACAAATCCCTGCAGTTCCGAAAGAGTCGTCCCTTAGCCTTGCAACACCTAGCTGTCCTTTTTTCCCCCCTTGAGGGGAGAAAGAAAAGCGGGCGATAGCCGATCTCCGGGAGTTCGGCTGTTGCGGTCTCGTCATCCCGACCAACAATTCGCAGGGCCGGGCCGGACGGGGCCGCGACCCACGCGCGCGAATTCTCTGTCTGCACAAATTCCAGCTATGCATCGACGTCGGATGCTACAAAGTACATACAGTGAAGATCCTCTCCACGCTTCCCATCAGCGTTGTGGATGTGTATCTTGATCATCCCGCGGTCATTGTCGAGGTGATGAGCCAGGCCAGCGCTGTGACCGTGAGCTATGGGAGCAGCGAGAATGCTTTCTTGGACGTCATCCTGGGATGTGATGGGGCTAAATCCGAAGGCAAGCTTTCGTTTGACCTGCCTAGCAGTATGCAAGCCGTCGAGCAGAGCAAGGAGGATTTACCCTACGACACGGCAAACCCGCTTTTCCAATTCGGATACGGGCTGGAATATTCCACTTGAGCGCAATGCTTCGCTCACAAGCTCTCTTCCAAATCATTCTTCTCTCTAGGCGCTTCATTCCAGACGTGGGCGTGATTTTCAGGGAAAGGTTACTAGGAACAATAAAGTAGTAGGAGAAACTCCCCGTCGGTGTACTTTGCAGTGCGATACCATTTATTACCATTTCATTCGGGTTCTTAGAGTTTGTATATAGGTCTGATTTATTATTCTGCCTGCAGAGCGCCATCTGCCGAGTCGAGTGGTCTACAAAAAGTGTCTCTGGACCGGAGAATGGGAAATAAGTCCGAAGTTCACTGGTTTGCTTGGCTATAGCCGCGGTATAGCGGAAGCGGGAACTCCCCGTGTCTCCACGGTGCAGAGAACAACATCCAGTGCCTGGGCTATCTAGTTGCTAGGAAAAGGCTCGGAAGCGAAAGCTCTCCGTGTATTTTTTTTCTCCCCCCTTCCCCCCCCCTGCTTGTGTGTGCCTTCTCATGCGGAAAACTCGACATGGTCATGGTTGAGAATCCCGGTTCTCAACGGCAAACCACACAACAGCCCAGTCCTCTGCTGCGGAGTCGACATATAGCCCAGTTTGCAATCAACTCGAGCTCAATGGAAGATATACTATCTCAAGCTCTCATGTAGTCAAGTGTAAGACCGATAGTACGCGGCCTCTGTGTGGGGAAGCTGCATGTCCGAAGCAGACCTCGCAAACCCACACCAAATTAGGGTAAGTTTCTTCTCCGCAGGAAATCGGGCCGGCACAACCCCACATACAAGGGCTCTAGATATGGCATGTACAGTCATGAAGATCTGCCAGATATCTGAGCTTATTGTATTACTTGGAATGAGTCGGTGCTTGATGAGGCAAACCCTGAAGAACTCAACCCGGAGTCCAAATCTTGGCAGCATGATCAGTGGATGTCGACTTTGCTGCTTGAACCAAATGCTAGTAAAGGCGCGAATAATTATAGATCTCGTACAAAGCTTGTTTTCTCTTGTCCTGCGCTCGGACCTTCGAGGAATTAGCTTGAGGTGATGACGACTGCAGACGCGACTTGGGAAGTCCAGATACTAATTCGCACTAGCTGCACGGTTGGAGCAGACAGGTGTTTCCCATTGGGACAAATACCTCGATATCGGACACGGTGCAAAAGCGAAATAGCCTCGAGTCGGGGATGCAGCATCCGCGGCGTCCGTCCAGTTACCAACTAACTAATTGCATCGCTGATATTGGCTGCTGTATTGTGTTTCCGGGTTATGGTGTGAGGCATTAGTCGCTAGCGGCGTAGCACTACCACACAGAACTTGACAGGGAGAAAGTGATTTCTTGGTACTACAATCACGACTATGGGCGAACACAGTGAATGCTGATCGGAATAGTGGGCTCACAATCGACATACCCGTTTGAGGCCCAAAGCGACTTCGGTCTTCATCACCAATGTTGCAATTCATCGATTCAACTCGGGAAATCGACACAGTTGTACATTGAACGAAATGGTTTAAACCACTTCGACGCCGCTTTCTGCGAAGACGCCAATTCCACAAATGAAAGGGGCATTCACGCGTTCTGGCTAGGGTACAGTAGTTTACCTTAGCGTTGGTCAGTCATCACATCGGACGACTCTGATAACGTTCGACTGAAGGGCAATTTGACGTTGCAGCTAGCTCAGACACCGGACTCGCCCTTCGTCCTTTGGAACTGCTCGGACATTGTCTCACAGGGAGGCATTATTGCATGGGTGTTCGACACGAAAAGCCCCAGTCCTAGCTCAGCAGCATAATATAAAAGCGTGGTCTGTCTGCTCGCAATGCTACCTTCAAGCAGAGCACATCCAGTCTTTCCTTCATTATCCAACTCCGAGCTTTTCTTCATTCTCTTGTCTGTTTTGCTTGGATCCATCATTTAAAAATGCCTTCTTATATCCATTCTTTTTGGCCACTTCTTCTGGCCCCGCTGGTTACAGCCGTCAGTAGCACCTGCAACACCACCGCGCTGAACACGACTACGTCCTGGTACGATATCACCGTCGACGGCACAACCGTCTTCGATGTCGCCCGCGCCACCAACCGCGGCGTGTGTGACATTGGCCGGCAGAACCTCATGGCGGACGTGACCATCATCCCCAACGTGGGCGAGTCCTTCCTGATCCCAGCCGAGGTGTGCGAGCCGGACAACACCAGCTGCCTGCTGCCCAACACCACCGCCACCCGCACGTGTATCTATGGCGGACCACGTCTCTACTACACGGTGCGGGGCGACACCTACGAAATCATCGCGCGGCGTCTCAATATCACTGTCGAGTCCCTCATGCATGTCGATGGGCCTTCGAACGAAACTCTGGTCAATCCGACCTCGCCCACAGCCCTCCTGGACGTCGGCCAGTTCATCAAGGTGCCCCAGTGCGACCCCAGCCAGTGTATCCTTCAACCCTACTCCTTCAGCTGGGGTGTGTACAAGGACCTTGCCGACCACTTCGGGACCACTGTCGGGCAGATCATGATGCTGAGCCCCACATACAACTACAGTAGTCTCGCGTTCACCCCCGAGGGTCAATTCCCCCCCATCAACATTCCAATCAACTGCACGGCATTGGCGGACACTGTTACTGTCCTAGATTAAACGAAGCAGGTCTATGGGCTTGTGGAACGCGGCCGGGGTCGTTGTCTTTTCCCTCACTTGAATCATCACGACCGCTTCGCAGGCTCATCTGCCACTACCAACCTCGAAACACTTGTGAATCAATTCTTCATTTCTTTCCTTCGGATATTTGTTTTCAAGGATTCATCTTGCAAACCTACTAGGGTCATCCCACACAGCTCAGGTACCGTTGCTATTTCTGTGCGGCTATTGGCCTATTCAGCTCTGCTAGGGACACGGAAAACTTCATGTCTTGGATTACGTCCGTGTCAACATGCTTTTCTATGCTCCCGTATTCTATGCAGTCCGAGTAATCAACCTCTTTCGACAAGCAAAATCTTGCGTTTCCTACAATCTTGCTTTCTCACTAATGTTGTCTAATGCCTCCTGGTATCCTGGGGCATAAGTGGCACAGACTACATCATTTAGGGCTAGGTGGTAAATAGAATCGGTCCAGAGCGTGGGTCTTTTCCGTAATGTTGGAAATTACAATACAATATATTGTGGTACCGGTATACCTTGAAAGTAGAAAGTAAAAAGACTGTCAGCCACTTTTCAATGTGACAATGGGGCATAGTGACTTAAACAACCGCATTACAAACAACCCTGGGGCTATGGCGGCACTAATGCAAGACAACTCACAGAAACCAGTTTCCGACACGGGTGATCGCTGCGCTCGATATTTGACCCGCAGTGCAGTAAACATAAATAGATACAAGCTGACCATCGCCCTGCCCGATAATCTTCAAGGAACAAAATCAATTTACTACGTAAGTTAGGGATTTGACCTTTGGCGAGCGATTAACCAAATGCCTTCCCTGGTGCGACATCTGAAGCCGCTACGTGGGAGGCTCCAGAAGGAATGAACAAGCAGCCAATGGGAGAACACATGAGATTCACAAGCGGAATGTGTTGCCCGAGGCTGTGGCAGTTGCTATAACCGGGCCTGCACTTCTGGTCTCGCCACCATCTGAAATTGAACGAGCGCAACCGACAACAGAAACGCTATCGGTCGAAAAGGACCCCAACGAGCAAGACCAAGTGGATCTCTGGGCTTGGGCATTTGGGATATTTCAGATAACGAATTTTGGATCAACGACAAGGATGCGAGACTCAACGTGCGACGCGCGCAGGGCGCTGAGGAGCACGGGATCTCGCCCAGCGTGAATGCCATCCACTGGCACCTGAAGAGACTGGGCGAAACATTGGACGGTCATCGAACCGCGACGGGCGAAACGATCATCTTGTGGGATATGATGGGCGGCACGTTGCGCCTCAGTGAGACCATAATCCTCGATACGTTGTTCGACGAGAATTATTGTTCCGCCGTCTTCAAATCCAGCTGGGTTCAGTATGCGAATGAGCAGATGGGGGATTTTGCGGTAGAGTTTGTATACGCCGGCGATATCTAGATGACCTCCTGATGAGATGAACTAGTAGTATTTCTCATATCATCCCTACCTTGATGAGATCAGACATCAGGTCAGCCTCGCCCTCCTGGAATAACCTGTGCATTCGGCTATTGTGCATGGGATCCACCCCGTCAATCGATCTCATCCACAAACCATCCTCCTGCGGAGGTAAATCTTCTAGCCGAAGTCGACATGCATGCAGGCCGCAAGCGAGTCAACCTGTCGCGAATAGCTACGGACGTCAGTTGCCCGTCAGCAATTTTTTAGCTACATTGAAAACAGAAGAATTTGGAGTGGACTGGGTGGCTGATCGACCATCCCCGTTTTAGGTCTCCGCCACATCGGTGATAGGACAATGCAAGCGAAGGCGGGGCTTCCAATCGAGCCCGGACAAACGGTGGAACGATTGTGGCAGTGCTGCAGGGCAACGGAAGTAAACTCCGTTCTAATTTGCCGGGAGTCTAGACTCCTAAAGGGCTTCAAAAAAGTCTTGAATCTCATACTCTAAGCGAAGGCTATTGCCGAGGCAACCATCATCCCAAAGGTTCGCGGCCTGAGGCATTAGTCCGAAGCCCATATGGACCGGCGTCAGGAGAAATCAAATCAATACCCGTGACTGACCACTGGGATTTGCCCAAATGATTCGAACTGGAGGTTTACGTGGCGCATGGGCGAGATCGGTGGTTTGACGGTCTGCAATGAGGCTGGCTGAAAATGGCCCTGGTAGTTAGGGCTCCATTGAGGCGCAGTGATCGCCGTGACTCACCAAGCGTGGGGTCGGGCCGCCAGCCCGGCAGGCTGACCCAGCCCTTCGGTATTACTCTCGGCATGAGCTGACGTTTGGTCAGTTTGAAGCTCGACTATAGTAAGTAGTTCATGTCCAGGAATGTAGTTTGCCATCTAATAGCGAGAACCTGGTGGAATGTTACGCTGTCATCTTCGACTCCAGATTTACTGGCTGAGAAGCTGACCGAATCACCCCTGTTCCCAGAGATTACATTTTATTGTTGTTATAGTTCTCGGAACATGTGAATTACAAATGAGCCAAAAGTGAATATGACCATATCGATGATTTTCAGAAAGCCGGATACGGTCGACAAGTAAGTTGCGCGTCAGCCACAGGCAAGACTTAGTCCCTTTTGGCTGAACTAAGGCGAAGACGTTCCCCGATAAGTGGGGACCCAATGGGTTACTGAGGCTTGTACGGATCAAATACAGAGCTACGTTCGAGCTGAAGGTGAGGATAATCGGGTCTTGCAATTCAATGACCCAAAGCTTTCCACGAGGCTGCAAGAAAATATTTAACAGCTGGCAGACCCGTTCAACTAATTTCTTCCATCTCAGTATTCCTTCGTTCTCGAGTTTGCCGTCATAAAGCACACACCACTATGGCCGCGCTCTGGGATTCCGCGTCTCCCGTGGACAATGGTGATGAAGTCTTTTTGAATGTAACGGAGCTGACAGGTAGGCGAATTATCTTATCGCGCACGGAGTAGAAAAAGTCGAATAACATTTAACGACAGAAGAGAACCTCTCTGTGCCTTCGACACAAGGCTCTGCTCCCAGCGATGTCCTTAACCTCTACCGGTTGAGCCCCGACAAGCCGTGGACGAAGCAGATTCCGAAAGACCTGACCGAGCCCGTCGAAAGCCTGGAACCCGTGAAGTCCCCGGTGATTGTCCGATGGACCAAGGGTGAGGACGCCCGCTGGCAGGCCCGATCCTTCACCTTGCAGAGCGAGGAAATCAGGCAGGCTCTGACGCCAGCGTTCGCGGGTTACTCCGGCATCACCATGACTCTGGAGACTCTCACGTTCGAATACCCGTACGTGCCGTTCGTACGCCGGTGGCAGCAATTCTGCCAGACACGCGAGGATACGCAGAACCCGACAATCCGCTCCTACCTCGACCTGTTGCATCAGATTCTGGATAACGAGGTTGGCAATATTCTCACCCGTCGGGCGGACCTGCTCAAGAACGGCGTCATTACCCACGACCTCCTATGGACGGTCTTCATTCCGCAGACTGTTCTCTTCAGCGCGGGGGGCGACACCCCTCGGGCGTACGAGTGCGTAGACTCGTACACGCACGGACAGGATGGCTTTGTCGAGGTTAAGACGCGGTACATTGACTACGACGGAGAAAAGTACCTCTACGAGAACGAGGTGGTTAATATCTGCCCATTCAAGGGCACGATGGCCCTCGACGCGCTGCAAATCTTCCCTCTGGTAAATCACCAGGATGCAGAAGCCATGCGACAGCGGCTGATTGACCGCGGGAAACTGTGGGAATCATACGATGGCTCGCATTACAAGCACGTGCGGGACCACGGGCGCGTGATGATTGACCCCGCTGGATATAGGAAGCACCACAACAGCCATATGAATGGATGGGAGACCGGGGCCACGGAAATCGCGACGGCCATGACCGACGAGCATCGGCTGCTGGCCACCCCGTGGGTGCGCGGTTTCTCGTTGCGGAAGAAGGAGTGGCGGGCGTTTATGGTCGATGAGGTTGAGGATATTGTCTGGAACAAGGATGCCTTTGACTCCTTGGTCCTCCCCCGCGGGCAACAAGATCTAAAGAAGTTGATTCTCGCTGTCGCGAAAGCCCAGTCGCAGGACTCGTTTGACAATGTGGTTCAAGGCAAGGGCCAGAGCGTTATCTTGCTTCTAAGTGGCCCGCCGGGCGTTGGTAAGACGCTGACAGCGGAAAGTATCGCGGAGGTCATGAAAGTCCCGTTATACGTGATGGGGGCCGGGGACCTCGGGACAACTGTGGCTAACGTGGAAGCAAAGCTAGAGGAGGTCCTCGAGCTCGTGCCTCGTTGGAACGCAGTGCTTCTGATTGACGAAGCCGATGTCTTCCTCGAGGCCCGCACGGTATCCGATCTGGCCCGAAATGAATTGGTCTCGATCTTCTTGCGAAAAATGGAGTACTACGAGGTATGTATGCATCAACTTAAAGTCTGGCGAGGAGCAACGCTGACGTGTCCACAGGGTATCCTATTCCTAACGAGTAACCGCGCCGAGAACATCGACCCGGCCTTCGACTCACGTATTCATATTTCACTCCAATACCCGGACCTCGATGCTGTGTCTCGGCGGCAGATCTGGGCGCAGTTCCTTCGCTCCACCGCAGATATTACGGAGGCGCAGCTGGATAGCCTAGCGGAGTTGGAACTTAACGGTCGGCAGATCAAGAATGTGCTCAAGACTGCGCATCTCTTGGCACGGGATCAAGAGCGAGGACTGCTGTTTGCTGATCTGGAGACAGTCGTCAACTTAAGGTCTCTGGGCGGGAAGCCCCCAAGCATATGGCAGAACTTCCTCAAAAGCTTAGGGCTTGCTTGGCTGGGCCTAATCTAATGCACATTCTAAACCTATTCTACCAAGTAATTCACTCTGCTCTTCGAGATAGCATATTCTTTGACTGAAGATATATTCAACGTGAGTGTAATATTGCGCTTAGGTAATCTAATGAGCTTCCAAGATCTTGACACCTCATATGATTTTGTGATGTTAATGACATGGTCCTCCTTCTTAGGGCAGTACTGTCTTTGCGTGGCGGTCGTCGGTGTCAGGTACTTTACGCGCCAATGGGAATACACGCTGGAAGAATCGCCCTGGTACTTTGCTTACAGGGATACTGCGTCCCATATCTATTTTAAATGCCAGTCGGGATATATGGGTATTATCTCGATGCAATGCATATTTTCTGTCGGGTTCTTCCACTTCACCAATATTTGACCTCTGGATGCGTCTTGTGTTCTAGCCCCCCAAAGAAATGGTAGGCTTGTGTCTCGTAACTATCCCGGTAATCATTCCAGTTTTCACCTCTTACATAATCATATAGTTCTCTAAACACTCGAGTGTTGCGACGATTTTCGATTCCCGCGGTACTCAGGAACTTGCATGAACCAAAGTAAGGGCGCTCATGGCCTGGCTCGAAGGAATCCCGAAGTGTCCCTGTTCCCTGGGGTACTTGGTTCGGAGCGTCGCGGAAGATGGAGAAAGGGTTCCGACCATGGTCGTAAAGAAAGGAGTGTACCTCTTCTTCGAGCCAAATTCCCAGGCCCGGTCGAGGGGGCCAGGGTGCAACCGCAACTATCAGCTTGGGTCTCGACTCCGGGTCTCTTTCCGACCACCGAAACCTCTCGCGAATCTCATCCAAAAGATCTCTGTAATTGCCCCCGTTATCTAGAAATCCCAAGAAGCTCAGTTCAATCACCTGGAGGGTCGACAGTTGCTCCAAGAGAGATATCACGTCGTCCTGGATCACAATGAACCGAGATAGCTTCAAGGTTTGCAGTCCCGACCAGCCTGCCACTGGGAAGATAGTTTGAAGAGAGGTGAAATGAAAGCGAGATGATCTCTGCCCGGGCTCTCTCCATTGTTGCCCCTGCCACCTTAGATTAGTCACTGAGTCGACCTCGATTGTAGTATAGAGACTGAGATGTTCCAAGCTCGGTGCCTCACCCAAGGCGCGGCGCAGGTTTCCGTTGCGGAAGGCGGGCCACTCCTCATATTCCTGGCCACGGACAATTAGGGGAAGGTCCAGGCGGCGGAACCCGGGACGTCGCAGCAGGGCCACCAGGTTCTCGACCTCCTCGCACGGCTGGTGGAAGATGGTGCAATTGAGCCCCGTATCCAGCTGATTAACATCCAGGATTAGCTCGACCACGCGATGATCAGGATGCTGGGCCAATGCACGCAGAACAAGCCGGACTCCCCGCCATTGCTCTTTGACATTCTCCGGTAAAGTCCCCCAGTCCTCGGCCTCTGGCGTTGGATCTCCTTCCTCCGCTGTCGGCCATCCGTGGGGGATCGGGTAATTGAATCCTTTCGGGAATGCGCGGATCATTGGCGTCTCGTAGAGTGGCTGATACAACCAACCGTGAGCGGCAGGGGTGATAGTGATTCTCTCTAGCGCAGGAAACCTTCGAAGGCCATAAACCAAAGCCTCCACGTCACTCTGACGAATCAAGACTTCGGCTTGCTGCGCGAGAAGGTTCTGATAGTACTGCCAACAGGTCCACAGAGATGGCCGCGCGTCTTGCTGAGCTGCACGCTCCACGTTGTACCATCCATCTTCATTTCGGTCCATCCGCACTGACAGCTCATCGAGATTGTTCTTACATCTTGTGACAAACCACTTCGGGCAGTTGTTGTTCACCTCTTCCTCGTCGTCCGAGCCGATGACTGCGTCAACGTTATACGGGTCAGGCTCTGGCGTTGGATCGTCGATCAGGAAAGCATCATCCCACACTATCTCCGTTACCTGCTGGCGAAATAATGGATGTTCTGCGACCGTACGAAATACTCGGATATTGAGCGGGTTTGCAGAAAGGAAGACGCGAGAGAGACGGAGGCGAGCGACGTCGCAGAGACGGCGGCACGTCAAGCGCAGCGATTTGATGTCACAGTTTGATAGTGTAGAAATTATCTGGTGGAAGAGTTCAGGTGGCAATGACAAGAGAGGCATATTGATCTTCGAGGTCAATATTTGGGGTGGGTGAGTGATTGGAAGTAGTAGCTGCGGGTCACAAAGTAGTGTCCAGTTGGTGGGCTGGGTAGGAAGAAGCAATTTATAACATCCCCCCGTGAGTTGGTGAAAGTCAGACACTTGATTTAATTCCCCGCCACTAGTTCAGGGGCCATGATACTAGCCACTTTGAGAGTTTATCCCTGCCTACCGGAACTAACTACTTTACCGTATATCCCCATCCTTGATTGTATGTATTGTACAGATGTGGACAGTAGTACTTGGATACGGGCTAGCGTGGCACACATCATACCAGTTCTATCGAGATGAATTCTCATATATCCTGCCCCGTCCGGTGAGTATCCTAGTGTGTTTAATGCAGGGTGAGGTTGAAGACGCTTGGATTCTGACTACATTAGGCTATCTCGGAAGAGGTAGCTAAGGCCACCGGCGGACGGCAGCCTAGGCGAGGCCGCAGGACCGCCAAGCATATCAACAGTTATGCTCACTCGCTCAGCCCATGGGCCAATTTATCAATTCTAAATACTGGCTCCCAGCAATCATACCCGTGCTCTGAATTCAAACATCATTCTCAAACAGACACAGGCATCTAGAGTCGCCCTTCAAACATCGGTGCGGGTACGGGCTCGTAACCCCGAAGCCAAAGCTAGAGGCTTCCAATTCCACATAAGCCATAATTTTCCACTTATGGGGTTCCTGACTATATCCCACCAAAAATGGTTCTTTGGACCGGCTCATTCAATGGCTGGCTATCTCGTCATACCGGAAATCCCGGATCGAGTTGATACTCCAGTGTGAGATATAACAGTTATAAAGGCAACGAATCACCGATCGACCCAGGCAGTCTTCTTAAGTGAATGCTAAGGTCCCTCCGACACCCCAAACTTGGCCTGGACTATACTGTAACTTCGACGCTCAAAGTCGCTCTACGCTCATGAAATCGATATGCGTGTCGAGATTGCTTTGGGTCTACCCACAGCGATTGATGCCGTGACTGCTGCTGGTCATGCTATTACTGTGATATTGGAAGCCAGGCTACTGCTAGTGGTGTCTTGTGGGAGATAGTGGTCGAAAACTGTAAGGATTTGAAGGTGAGATGGTCGTTGTATTGTTTCTACAAGGTATAAGCTAAATGGCAACCGCCCCTTCTAGGCTGTAATCATGACTCGTGCAAGAAGTATTACTTATTCTGCCCGAAGCCGCTGCCCACCTTTGTGGTGCGCAAGTTTGATAATAGGAAGCAGCCGGGACCAGCTTGAATATCCGATAGGGTCTTCTTCTCTATCACATTGAGTCCCTGGCCCGGATTCCACGGTCCCACCCGTCTGAAAGTATGTCGTGGATAGTGGATTCTCACTTGAATCATATGGTTTTGTTGGATTAGCTGGCTCGTCTCGACCAGCATTATCAAATTACAAAACGGACTTGGTTCCGTAGCGATCAAAGATGGCAGACTGATGGGCTGGCACGATGGTTCTACTTCATATATTTCAGTTCCCCTGGGGATATGTTTGGCCCTATTTTGCTGAGAGGCTTCCCTGTCAACTAGGTAGTATGGTGCAGTACAATTTCATACAACCCCCAGATATTTGCCGCTAATATCGAGGCAACAGCGCACACACGCAATTCGAATCGACTTTGTCAATGAACTTTCAACTATTCTCACGGGCTGTAACTTGAACAGATATAATCCATAGCTACCCAATGCCAAAAATTGATTAGGTGCTTCCAGGGCCCAAGGAAGCTATAGTCCGGTCCTCTAAGTCTTCACTATCAACGAGAGCGATAAGGCCGGTGATAGCCTCCTATCACCGCCCATTATCTCCGGTCCCGGCCATGCCATTCCCCAGTTCGCTCAAATTCCGCAAGGGATGCACACACTTTCGTTCCTTTCTTTCTCTCTTCTCCCTCCACATCCCGGAAACAGATCAGACATTCAATCAGCCAAGATGCTCGGCAGCAAGACGATCGAGAGTGCACTCTCCCTGCTCAAACAAAATCCATCCAAAACTCTAGAGCTGACTCTGGGCGTCCACCGCAACATCCAACCAGGCCAATACATCCCACGAGCAGGTCTGTCTCGAGCTCCCACATTCTTCGACCACGCATTGTCTGCGCAACTCAGAATCTAAACTAACAAAACGAGAACAGACGCCCGCTCCGCCCCCGATCTCACCTTCACCGTCCCCGACCCCAACCGCACGTACATGGTCGTCAACCTAGACCTGGACGCCCCGTTCCCGGCATTCAGCTTCCTAGGCCCGATCCTGCACTGGTTGCAACCCGGTCTTCGTCCTGTCCCTACGACAATGACGACGTCGCCCACGGACGGGGCAGCCTACGACTTCGAGGTCACCGCCCCCTTCGTGGCGAACTACATCGGGCCCGGCCCCCCGCCCGGTAGCGCACCGCATCGCTATGTCTTCTTCCTGTACGAGCAGCCGGCCGGTTTCGACGTCGAGAAGTACGCGTCTCCGGAGGGGCAGAAGGTGGGACGCTGGCCGCGGGTGCGGTACGATTGGGATAAATGGGTGCAGGAGGTGCAGTTGGGCGACGTGGTGGCGGTGAATTATTTTACCAGTAATTGATGCGGGGGCTGAGATGTCGGGAGTGAAAAAGGATGGTGGAAGTTTCTGGCAGGCCCCAATGTGGCCATCCGTGCCGGTTCCGGGGAGTGACTAACTACCTGGTTGGTGGTGGTTGCGGGGCCGGTTCCGGGCGAGCAAGCCGGCTCCGGGCCCCGGGTATGCTGATAAGATAAGCCCTTTGTGACGGGACCGCGTCATGACTCGCGCTCAAATAATCATTATCCGTCTTTCGGGCCCGGGGGTCAAGGTAACGAACGAGGTAGATAGAGTAATAGCTATTAGGCCACCACTCAATACTCATCTGACACCCGGAGCTTCAAAACAGCATAAGAGGTCGGCGACTGTGAAGTTCTTCAATGCGATCGGGGAGTCTAACAAACTTGCTGCTAATGCTGTAACCCTGAAAGCGATAAGAATATAAGTCGCAATTCAGATGGCCACATTATATTGTTGGAACGTGCACTTCCAATCATTATATTATATAGAATGAAGAAAGCTAGGGACCCATACTTAGTTGTCTATGCAAAAGGTCACCTTGATGTTGAAGCTATCAAGATCCTGATTGTTGCGGGTCGCACAATATCTGTGAGTACTGCGCCTTGAAACTAACAAGGTCACTGTCTGGTTTGTAATACACCCTACCTTCGATATATGGAATTAGATGGTATGGTAGACTGGAAAGATGCTACTAACCCCGACACCAACTTGCTGGAATATCGCGAGCAAGCTCCAAACCACTGTTTCCATGAGAATGGTTAAGACTACAAACATTACACCACCGCTCGGGAGAAGATCAAAGTTGGCAAGAGTCAAATTTGGTGCCCAATATATCGGATGGGTTATGCATTGGTGAGCATTCTCTGGCCTCCACACCGGATGATGCTCCAGAACTCAAGACGGGCCAATCTACCCGGAGTCTCCACTCCCAATCTCATCTGATCGGCTTTCAAAAGCCATAAGTCTGTGTTTGCTATGCTCGTGTCGATCTGGAACACAGTACAGTTTAGTTGAGCTGAGCTTGAATATAACTTAGACCGCAGCCGCACAAAATATGGGGTCTCGTCACATACCACGTCAGATGAGATGTCAAATTATTTCGCATCTGACCAAGTTTGACTTCTCCCTCCCTAGGCGGCACTGTCGGGAGCAGGAGTCTCGTCGGGGACATATTTAACCCAGCTAATCGCCCCATCCGACGCAGTTCCTGTGACGATTTTGGCAAGGGCGATGTCGGATAAGAGGACAAGGGAAAGAAAAAGAGAAGTCATTGATAGCGAGAGCTTCATCTTGTGTGGTGGTATATCTTTGAACAGTTTCTTGGAGCGGAATCTGAATCTTCGAAGATGGCACCATCTATGGTTGCAACCAGGCCAGGGTCGGCTCGATATCTATACCCTTTTATTTCGCGGAGCCCCAGACGCCACGATAGAGGTCGCAGCTTAGATAACATAGATTCATCGTGTGGTCGAGGGTTCAGAGAGTTTACCAGTATTATTTGCCCCCTGAAGCTGCATTTTATTGGCTGTCCGGCATCTCTATGACGCGCAGGGTCCACATTATTAACTTCAGTATCAAAGGATCTATACCGAAACAAAGGTGCAGATGATCATACCGAAGGGACTACTATGTACGACAAGATGAGGTATGAAATGTCATTGGATACCATCTGATGAAATGGTCGGGTGCGCTTAGGGTCCGGGGAAGACAGAACTTTGTGTCTAGACTTTCAATTGTCCTCTGGCATTGATTCAAACCCGACCGAAGGTTTGTTTCTGGTTCGCCCACGTGAGAATGTTCTGGCCGAGTCAATCTTTATTCCTTGTATGTATCTGCAGTGGGCGCAGAATTGATCTGGTACTAAATAAGGTTATCGGAGGTGGGTCCGGGCCGTTTGCGGTGAAATTAAGCAGTGAAAGCTTAAGAGGCCCGGCCCACCTTGTGGGATCAAGATCGACCAGCACTGATCGATCCGATCGATCTGAGCAGCATGTTTCCACGGCGACCTTCACTGCATGTCTGTGGTTGAGAAAGTGATAGCAAGACATCCAGAAATCGCGCACATCCTTAAGGTGAAATCGAACCGTCATCATTTTGATACTGCTGGGCTGTCATGGTGTTGGGCTCGAGAGTCCACTCCTGTACCGTCTGGTCTAGACTTCGAGGTGGCCGACCGCAATGCTGGTACAATGTGCACTGCGCCACGCTGTTCACTTTCTATTCAATCTCGGATACTGCCGTATCACAATGCAACTTTTGAGATCCCCACGCGAGGTTTATGGCGGGATCTCTCAGTCAATTTGCAACATGATCAGCATTGGACTACTTGACGACTTGCGAAGTCATTACAGACCAGCTTGAAATTATTGGGACATGCCCATCTATCAAAGCAGGGATTTCTACAAAGCCTATCTTCGCTTCCTTCAACAATCACCTTTCAACAGCCAGTAGAGCCTGAGAGTATTATTCTCAAACTTAATCGTCAACCGCAAATCCCCTAAGTTCCCGCACCGCCCCCTCCCCACAAACGACCCAAATCCTCCCGGCCATTGTCTGTTGATCGTACCAAGGAACCATCGGTCAGCGGATACTTGGCGCGGAGTCTAGATCACAAGTCTGGGATTGCAGCGCATCAAAGCAGCAGAAACATTATCCTCACCATCATAGCTACTCTTAATCAAGGACGTCATGGCAAGAGTCTATGCTAAACATAAATGTCCTCGTAGTCCGATGATTGACTTTAGAAACAGCAACAAGCATAGCCCTTCCAACTATTGCTTTATATCTGTCTCAGTTGAACATGGTCAAGCCCACAATCCTCGCGCTACTGGCGCTAAGTACGATAGCACCCAGCCATACACTCCGCTCAAGAGATGAGACTAACATCTCCAGGCACCCCCGTTTGGTCAACGCCACAGACCTCGGTGACCAACCTAGCCAAGTGCACCGACTGGTGTTACAAGAACTACCAGAACCCGTCGTCCACCTGCGTGTTCCCCGCATTAACCGGACAGGGCCCATGTTATGTCTGTGGCCCTCTCAAAACCTCGCAGTCGCAGCAAGTATGCAGCGGAGCCTGCACGGATACGAACACCGACGCGAAGAATTGTGGAAAGTGTGGTACCACTGTAGGTCCAGACCCTGGGTGTTCCCCCCAAATCCAAGCATCATCGGGATAACCTTGATACTTGCAGTGTGCATCTGGGAAATGCACCCTGGGCAAATGTTGCAACCCCGTCGATACTTACGGCTGCACGATCGATAACTTCAGAAGCTTTTGTTGTAATCAAGGGTGCTGGTTCAATGTTCCGGTAGATGGCGGGACGGGTAGATGCCTTTGATGGATTTCTGAAGGTGTATCCTGGTTGCTGACAATGCTTCTTATTGTGCCTTGTTTGATGCGCTGGAATAAAAGCTCTTGTGGGATCAGCCAGGAGGCAAGACTATGCACTGTGAATACCCCCACACGGCCTATATAGCTGCCAGAAGTGAAAACGAGATACCCACACCCACCCATCCACCCACCCACACACACAGGGGTTACATTCATTTATTGTAAAGTTATAGAAAATGCTGAGTAAGCCATAAAGCATAATAGGTCAAAGATCAGTACAATTATAAACTTGAAAGGCACCTCTACAGTACAGCTCCATAGCTCTGATCCGCTGATCTGCGTCTCTTTCCTCCTTGTCGCCAAGCACCCCACAAGCAAGCTGTGACGACAGGACACCATGTGACCCAGTGACATATCTTTAATCCCATGCACCAGTAAATATCAAATACATCACCGATAAAGACTCGAGTCCCTCTTAAGCAACTCGCTTCATGATCCCGCCGAAATACCCATCAACCCGAGCAACCTCGCTCAACGGCGCAACCATGCCCACGTACCCATCAGGCCGCACCACCACGAGCGCACCCTGCGCAGGATCCACGCCATAGATCCCATACGCATCGTCCACCGCATAGCCACTATAGAACGCCATCTCCGCGTGTTCCTTCACACACGTCGGAATACTAGCCCAGGATATCGCACCCGGCAACTCGGGATACACCACAATCTGCTCGAGCAGCGACGGGGGAAACTGCTGAACCAGGCCCGTTACGTCCTGTAGCGCAGTTGCGGATACGCCGTTCGGGTCTAGCAGGTCGACGGAGAGGAGGGACAGGATGCGGAAGCGCCCTGTGGATGCCAAATCTAAACGCAGTCAGCGATGGTTGTCCCAAGAGCTGAACAGGGAGAGGCCGTCTTACCGTCATGGATATCCCGGTGCGCTCCATCCGCGAACCGTTTCATCTTGACATTGAGCAAGCGGCGCCCAGGCCGGAGCATCCCAGACAAGTAGTCGTGGCCGCTGACGACGGGCTTCGTCGGGGTAATTCTGTTGACGGCCAGGTTCTCCACATACTCTACACCGCAGCCGCTGGTAAACTCACAGCCGGTGCTGAAAATTTCAACGAATTCGGCGTGAGAGATGCCGGATTTGCAGTCCTCCGTGCCCACTTTATCCGAAAAGCCGGTGGCGAACTTCCTGTCGAAGTCGATTAGTTGTTGGGCGTTAGCGTGGCGCTCGATGTGATAGGTGTCGAGTAGCGCATTCCCTGATGTAGACGGGGTGAGGCCGTTGACGTGATAAGCGAGCTTCCATGCCAGGTTGTAGGAGTCCATCATTGATACGTTCATGCCTTGGCCGGCCTGCATAATCCAATTGTTTAGTTACTAGTACAGTCTCATGATTGCAGGAGGTTGCATGCGGCAGTTTACCTTCGGGCTGTGTGTGTGGCAAGCTTGATGGTTGTCAGTTCAAGCTCTCCACTAGAAGCGATCCAGACGTACCGTCACCAACGATAAACACCCTACCAACCCCAGTAGCATCCTTCACAATGAACTCAGGACAGACCCTCTGCCCAATCTGGTACGCAGCCCACCAATCGATCGCATCGTCCCTCTTAGGCCGGATATAGTACGGCTGGAACACGGTTTCGATCTGCTTCAGAATTCCTGCCAGCGTAACCTGCGCCCGTCGCCCCCTTGCACCCTCCCCAAGGTCTGCGTCAGCCACCCTTCCCTCCGGATCCACCAGTCCCGGAACCTGCACATAAATGCGAGTGATACATTCACCTGTACAGATGCGCTCGCGGGGGATGACCATGACAGAACCAGCCCGGGAGTGAATCGCACAACGCCGACGGATGTCCGGGAAATCGGTGTCGACAACGAGATCCACCACCCCCCAGATGTGGTCGAGCGACTGGCCCTCGAGATTCAGACCCACGGCCTTGCGGACCACCGAATGCGCCCCGTCCGCCCCGACCAGGTGCTTCGTCCGAAGCGTCCGTCGCTGGACGCCATCGACCTCGATCTCCACCAGCACGGGGAACTCCGCGTCGCCTTGCTCATCGATTCGCAACGACACGAGCTTGGTGTTGCGCAGCACCCCGCGCCGCGAGTAGCGCAGCAGGTCCTGGTCCATGATGCGCTCGATGCGGCCCTGGTGGATGGTGGCTTCGTAGGGAAACCGGGCCGGCGGGATCACCTGGGGTACGACGGTCTGTCGCTGGATGGTTTGGCTGCCGCCGGGATTCTCGGCCTGGTTCCAGAACGCAAACTCCCACATCTGGCATGCCTCTCGCTCGATCTCCTCGGAGATGCCCAGGGTCTTGAATACCTCCAATGTGCGCGGCTGAACCCCGTCGGCCTGGCCGGATTTGAGCGTGCTCGGCTTGGAGTCGATGCATAGCAGAGACTCGTCAGTCAATCCGTACCTTGCGAGGAGTAATTGGAGCATCAGCCCGGCGGGCCCGGCCTATCGTTTTGTCACAAGGATTAGTATTTTATCGTCTGTACGACCCTTCGGGGCTGAGCCCTATTGTTTGATATGGGGAGAGTAATAACCTACTCCGACAATGAGTACCTCGTATCGTTCTATCTCACTCTCCGTCGACGGTACGAATGCTGGTGCCAAGCGAGGCAGTGGGGGAGCCAAGGACGGCAGGACCCTCAGGTCACGCCAGCTGGAGGCATGTTCGGTGAAGAGTGGCATAGTGTGACTTGCTGAGATATTGAAATTAGTTGTCGACCTAAACAAGACGGTAGATAATGTGATTTAGAATCTTGGACTTTTGGTCGGCGACAAAGGTACATAAGCTTTCATCTATATCTCTATTGCAGGGGCTGGGCGTGGAGAAAGCCCGGGGAAGGAGACTCGACCCCGCGACCCGGCTGAGCCTTCGGCAAATAAAACGGCTACTTCGAACCGTGAGGCCTGTACTATTGCCATTTCTTGTTGTAAGACACTGGGGAAAAGCCATTCCCTCGGTTTGTTCTTGTCTGCGCACCCCGCCGGCCACCCCGCCGCGTCCCCACCACGCCGTTCCGAGCAAGGCGGGGTGACTGCAAAGAGGCCATCAGCCCCCCTTGGGTGGGAGGCTGATGGTCACGAAGATGCTTACCAGCCTTTTCCTCCGTGAATATTAGTGGTCTATGCACCATGGTGACCATCTATCGCGGCACACAATACCGATGCGAACGAAGATGAAATGCCCCATCGTCCGACTCGATTCAGCATATCGATCAAACGGTGCACCTGATTGGCGTCTGCCAAAATACAGTCCCTGCCTGCCTTCCCGAGTGCTCCAGGCGGCGCCGCATGATTGTCTGACAGCTGGACCTCCGGCGCCTCGAATGCCTTAACATCGACGCCTTGCTGGCCGCCAATTCGAGTAAAAGCGAACCAGCACAAGGCAGCGTGAAACAGACCTCGAGGGATGTGGATGGCCGGCTCAGCGGCGACACGCATTTGCTCCACGTAGCGCTGCAGTAGGAATGCATGAACCAAGCATTTACTTGCGGCCAGTGAGCTCGACCACGAACGCACAAGCGGGTAGCTGGCTTGCGCAGCGGACTCCCCATCGCGGCCGCTGGCTCGTTCCAGCAGGTCGAGGTCGGCGTAGATGGCTATGTAGGTGGAGTGCCACAGGATCTGCAACGCAAAGGGGTCGTCCTCGTTGTCGTGCACGCTGGACTGGGTGCTATTGCTCCCCCACCACCACATGAGCATGTGGGATAATCTCCCCACTTCCTGGTCATCGAGTGTATTCGACCGTCGAGCCTCACTGACGTGGGCACTGATGCTCTCAAGTAGTCCGTAGGCCGCAAATCTAGAATCGCCTGGGAGAATGTTGTCGAGGTACGTGGTCGACATTTGAGGGCTCGTTGGGGTCGCCGTAAGTTTGTAAGCCCTGGCCCATCTCACCGCTGTCGGCGCCGTGAACAATGCATCCGAAGCCAAATGAGGGTAATGCGTGAGCCGATGCTTGCAGATGGGCTCATGGTGTAGTAGGCTTGCAAGCTCTGCGTCATGGATGTTCAAGGCGATCTTGACCCTCAATCGCTGCTCGCGATCAATCCATTGACTCCACTGCTCGTCCAAGCGAGCGTCATCGACGAGGCCTCGAGGGGTGGCGGGTAGCGGCAGTGCATTTCTATCAGACTCACGCGCCCAGGCCATGACCGTACCATGCAGAACACCCGCCAGAATAAGGTCCTTAGGACGGCCGGAGAGAATGGCAAACGTCTGGCCGATAATGGCTGCTTGGACCATGGACAACGCGTCGGAGCAGCTGCGAGCCAGAACTGACTCCCAGGACGCCAGAATCGCTTTATTCAGCCTCTCAAATAGACGAGTCCCTTGTGCGACTGCGTGTGATGACCCTACAAACAGGCTACCAACCGAACAGATTGATATAAACAGTAACGAGTTCTCGGTGGTGGGCTTGAATGAGGGCACATGAACGATCGGGAGAAGTTGGTGAAAGCGAGTAAAGAACTGGTTGGCGAAGAGATTGAGCTGCTCAGCCGAAGGAAGGGCCTCATCGTGCATCCGAGGTTGGAGCCTCTGCGAGAGGCCTGCTCGATAGCTTTCATCGGCCGCGAGGTTTCCGTGACCAATCTCCCTGCCCCGAGTGCCGGAATTTTTCTGGGGAGCCGGTGTGTCTTCCGGTACAGTGAGACGCGTAAACCATTTTCGCTTCACAATGTCAGCTGGCAATTCCGCAGTCTGCACCGAAGTTGGGGTAAGGAAGGGGCCGTTGTCAGTCAAGCTCGGGATGGACGGGATGGGAGGCAGTTGAGCCCATTCCGAAATTGCCGAGGTCAAGGTGAAATCCAACGCATCGACATCGAGAAGCGCTCCTGGGAGCCAAGAGGTGCTGGGCTCGCTCTGCTGGATGGAGTTGACGAGATGCAGCTGATGCTCTGGTTCCAGGTAGGTGCCTGTTGGTGCATCTGAGGGGTTGGATGTCTGCTGAGAAAATGGCGTCGACATTGCCAATTCGGCTACTGGACGCTCTCGAGACTGAGGCGAGGCTGTTCGATGAATCTTCTCGTGTCGACGTAACACGTCGCTGTGGCAAGTACATTAGACTCTGATAGAACCAACTTTGTGGGGTGTAGAAAAGCAGATGCCTACCTCCTGGAATACAACCTGCCACAGATCAGACATTCGTAGGGCCTGTCATTAGTGTGACTTCGCAAGTGTCGCGTGAGGTGCTCGGCTTTCGAGAAGGTCCTGTTACAGCTCAAGCATGTTCTGCTCCGTGTAGCACTCATTTTAGAACGGTTAATGGGGATCTGATCGATGGCGACAGAAGGATGGATTTACAAGGTATCTCCGGTCGGTCCGATTGCGGGGGATCTCCAGTCACGTGATAGTCCCCCCCCTCTTAAGTTGAACTATTCTACGTACAGCACAATCAGAAATACCCTCAAGTAGGGGTTGAGTTATGCTTTTGGTTGTTTATTGATGGAAGGTCAGTTGGTCAGGAAAGCCCTTGGTTGTCAAGACACAAGCATTCTGTCCGACGTTCGGGCACGGGGGTAAAAGGGCGTAAAGGCGCCGAAAGAACGGCTTCCTTAGACACGCGTGAATAGACAAAGACCGCCCATCCGTCAATAAAGTGCATTGAAGTGCCAACCAACCACCTGTAATCTGGCCAACAATGTGATTCTCTGGGGATCATTCCTCCCACAAAGCCTGCCGAACAATGCTAGCAATCACCTTTGATGCCGAAAGCAGTAGCACAAAGAAACCACAACAAGCTGTATGCAGCAGTATCACTGTAGCCAAATCCGCAACATATAAAACGGACCAGACCCCCCCCCGTATTCCCCAAGACACCCATACCTGAGGCTAACAGCTATCTTAACTCGCAAGTAGCAACTAGTCATATATTATACAAAAGCACCTCAACACCATGGCAGCCACCTCCATGATCCAACACTTCGAGGAGGACGTCCCCTTCGACTACGAGTACGTGTCGCAACGCGAGCTCGTCTTCGACGGCCAGACCCCGCCGGGGATAGAGTGGTGCGTCGTGGTCGTCTCGGACGCCAAGTGGCACGAGGCCCGCGACGTGCTGGCGGTCGATCTGGGCGGGCACGAGTGTCTGGACTGTACGTTCCCGCTGAAAAGATACCACTGTCACTTTGTGGATGAGGAGTCGGAGTTGGAGTTGATGGTCTTTCTGCTCGCGGAGACGGAGCTGGCCGCGCTGAAAAGGCCCCGGGATGACCGTGGGTCGTTGAGGCCGCCTTCTGTGGTGGTGTATTGATTATGCTTGGTTGTTGGATTGTTGGGTAAGTGATAAATAGCTGTAATGGTATCTCTTGCCTTTCCAGACTCACTTCAACTTTTGTGTGAATAGATTTAGTATCAATGCCTTTTTCCCCTTGGTTCAACGGGGGAAAAGCCAATATGGGTTTAGATGTAGTTTGGAACAATAGCCCTAATCAAATCTGAAGAATGCACTCATATAACATCAACCTACCCCCTCACCATCACTACTATTCCTCCCCCCCTACGATTTAAACTAAACCTCCCTCAAGCCAACGGATGGCGAAGCACCACCTTCCCAAGCCGCCTCCCACCCTCCGCCAACCCCATCAACTCCTCCAGCGCATCCTCCGTCGACTTCCCGAAGATCTCATCGCGAGGCAGCCGGAAGCGCACACCGTAGTCCCTTATCGCCCACTCCAACACCCGCCACGCCCGCTCAAAGTCCGCCGGCCTCGCAGAGATGTTGATGGGCCGCACCTTTGCAACTCTAACAGACACGTCGCGGTTAGGGGTCGCAATTGGCACACAAAAGCGGGGATCGTCCTGGACGACCAGCGAGACGAGGTCGGCCTCGGGGGCGAGACAGCGAACCAGCAGCGTCGCCGAGAAGTCTTCAGTTCGCGGGACACTTCCCACGGCGTCGATTCCGTAAGCCACTATCGTGTCACTTTCCTCGATTCTTCGTGTGATTTCGTCCACCACCATGGGGGGACCTGTAATCAAAGTAACGGGTGGCGCCCAGCTCCGTGGGCAGGGCATGGCGCTGCGGAGACGCCGTCATGAGGATGGGAGAGACGCCGCTGGCTCGCGCGAGCTGGACGGCGCAGAGACCCACGCTGCTAGAGGCGCCCCAGATGAGGAGTCCCTTTCCGCTGGCCTGCGCACCGCTGGACGGGGTTTCTTCCTGCGGAAGAGGAATCCCAAACAGATTGAACAGTGCATCCGCCGCCGTCATGGCGTCCACGGTGAGAGCCGCGGCGTCCGATAGCGGGAGGGCGGCGGGCACGCGGAATGCCATCTCCTCCGGACACGCCAGGTACAACTGGTGGGTGCCGTATCTGGTCGGTCGGTTCAGTCCTGTGGGCGTGTAGCCTGCGACAGTCTCGCCTGGGTAGCAGCGATGGCATTGCGGTGCGATCTCGAGCACCTTCCCGCAGAAGCGGTAGCCCAGCACGGCGAGGAGATGGCCAGCTGCATTGCGTGTTTGGTGTCGGCGGGGTTCGCGCCGGAGTATAGCATTGCTACGAGGATCTCGTCGGCCGGTGGCTTGGGATGGGGAGGTCTCGTCGGACTGTGAGGTTGAGGGTGTCTTCGGCGTATTATCGCTGTCCCTAAGTGCGTGGTGACCATTCTGGGAGGACAGGGTGATTAGGGTGGGTGTTTACTGGAGATATCAGTGCGATGACGTTGAGACGTGAGTCTTTTGGCTTTCTTCAAACAAAAAACCTGATACTGGTCTAGCGGAGCGACTACTCTGATTTTCCAGTCAATTCTTTGCGTCATTCAAACCCCTATGGTTGGTCCAGTGGATAATTTTCATCTGATGAACTTGATTTAGGGCAGGGGCAATGGGCAATAGCCGCTTACTCATCGGGAGCTGAGCAGCCGAAGCCGGCGGGGTGGAGCGGGGTGAGGGGGGTGTAGAGGGGGTACTGGCGGGGTGGCTGGATGCTCACTCGCTGACGGAAGAGAGATGGATCCTTGGATATATTACGCACTAACTAGGCGGGTCAATTAGGGTATGCAAATAACTGTAGAGCATGCTTCCGTGGTTGCAGTTCGTCTATTTGTACAGCTTATTGTGCATGGTGCTTAGACTCCTCATTCAAGAAAAGGTCGGAGGTCCATTGAACAGGCTATGTCTTGATGTCTGTCCAATGATTCTAGATTGAGCCTCCCAGCAGGATTGGTAGCTCGTACAGAAGTCACTGACCTCTAGGCAGTGGATGTCAAACGTGTTCTTACCAGTATCCCAAAGTGCAGGACAAGGTCACATGTTGTACAGGCAAACTGAAACCGGGTAGCCCTTGAAGAACACAATTATTGCTCCCTAGGACTACCCAAAGAGTCCATTGCTCGATCAAGCAAAAAGCTTCCTCATACAAGAGTCGCCTGAACCAGCCAGAACCAGCCATGGTCAATCCCACAACATTATCATCCACCTAGAGCACATACCGAAACCACCCATTCTCCCGATCCGTCAGATCCTGGAACCCCAACTTATCCCGCAACCCTTCATCCAGCCCGGCCGCGTCCCTACGGCGATTCTCCCGCCAGAGCACCACCCACAACGCCCCGGCAGCCGCGATCACAATGCAGTAGCAGATGACCATCCCCGTCCACAGCTCGGGGTAGTGCTGCCCCACGGTCTCGGACTTGATCAGCTGCGGGCCGATGATATTGCCGACGGCGTAGGCGACGAACACCGTGGCGGCCATGATGGTCTTCTTGGTGGCGCCGGCGACGTTGCTCGCGCCCAGCGTGATGATCAGACTGACGACCGGGCCGAAGAAGCCCGTCAGCGCGTAGCCGACCACCGGCGTGGCGGGCCGGTACCCCCAGCTGGATTTCCAGATCATGACGCACCCGGCGATGACAGGGAGGCAGCAGGTCACCAGCAACAGGATGCGGGTGTTCGGGAGGACGGTGGGGATGTAGCCGACCAGCGGGATGAAGATGATGCAGATGGCGCCCACGGGGAACTGGAACAGGATCGAGGCCAGGGTGTTGTAGCCAAAGGTGGAGACGATCAGGGGGCCGAAGCCCGAGATGGCGCCGTTGATGGTGTAGCTGTGAGGTCATTTAGCAGCGAAGCAGGTGAGGAGCAGACAGGGGAAAAGCTCACGCAGCAGCCATCATGATAGCAATCAGATACACCTTCACGTCGGTGAATGCTTCCACAATCTGCGACATCTTGATCGTCTGGCATCGCACGCCCGTCTGGCCGCGTCGCAGGCGTTCCACGGCGACCACCCGCTCCGCGGGCGTCAGAAACCAGGCGGACACCGGGGAGTTGGGGAGAATGCAGCACCAGATCCCGAAGAGAAAGGTGAGGACCCCCGCGAAAATGTAGATGTATTGCCACGGCCGGAGCGCGCCCGTGGTGATCTGGCCGAAGGCGTAGTTGAGCGCGCCGCCGATGATGGTGAACCACCCCGTCCCGGAGAACCAGATCGCCTGGCGCAAGGTTTGCTCCTTTTGCGTGTAGTATCCACTGATCACAGTCATGAAGCCGGTGGGGATCACGCTTTCGACGAACCCTACGCTACGGTGTCAGGAGCACGGATCAGTTGAACTGGATGAAAAGAGAAAGGTACCAAGAAAGAAGCGCTGGACGAATAGACCCCGCCACGAAGTGACGCCGGCAGTGGCCGCACAGGTGATGGCCCACAGCATGACAATCGGACCCAAGACATGCTGGATCTTGAACCGCTGCAGCACCAGCGTCATCGGGTACAGACCGGCCATCATGCCGAAGTAGAAGATGGAGGTGGCCCAGCTCAGTCGCGAGGTGTTTTTGGTCGGGGGGGTGGTGCTGTAGTCGACCACCGAGAGAGCCAGGTCGCTGGTCATGCCAAATAACGAGGCACTACCGAGGATAGCCTGTGGTTCTTAGTCAGAATCACATTGCCATAAAGAAGTAGTTAAACCGGACCTTATCCCAGTAAACAAAGCCATAGCCTTTTCAGCCTGTCAGTATACCATCCAACCTTCTCAAGATTTCCATGGAAGATGTAAATCTCACGCACCAACCAACATTGCCGGCATGAAGAACAGATCAATCTTGCGCAAGACCCGTCGCTCCACCGCGGGGTCAATCTCCAACCCCTCTTCGCTATTGACTACCTCCAAAGCCTCATCTTTGTGTCGGTCATGGGCTTCATCGCCCCCAGCTCCGGGGACCTGAATCATCCTTTTCTTCTTTCTTACGAACAATAGGAATCAACAGTTGTGAAAGTGCCGGAGATTTATTGTTGGAGTGATGTATAGATAAGATTATCGCTCGTGAATTAAAAAAAAATTCTGCCGCCGATTGCGGAGAACCAAACGAGTTAAATCCCGCGCGGTCGGGAAGCGTTTGATTTGGTCTTTGCTGTTTGTTTACCCGCGGACTTCATCGCTCCGAACCTGGTTTTTCTTGAGCATTTTCGTTGGTAACTGAGTTTGGGTGTAGGTTTTGCATAAAATGATATCTCGGTGACTCATTGCGTCAAATATCGCTGGGGATAAATGAGATTCTTCACCGGAGGTTGAACGGTCCTGAGGTGTGTGAGATATGTGAGATCTAGCATCGCCGAATTATGGAGGTATATAGTTATATACAGTCATACAGCTTAGAGATGCCCGCTCGGAAAACTTCGCCGGTACTATAAATTCCCATTTCCCTCAGCGCGAATTCGAGCATAATAGCATATGGCATGACAAGGTTTGCCTTGACTTATGCTATTCGTATTCCGGTGAATTGAATAAGCTTACTGTAACAGCGGAGATCTGTGCCAGACACGCAGACCGGTCCACAAATACAGTTTCCATGTTCTTCCCAACTTCGGCTACACGAAATTTGGCAACTTCTACGCCGGGAAGCGATGGAGCGAGATGTCTGAATAATAGAAGGGAGAACCGATCAAGAAGGTGGAGGCGAAGGCGCAACGAGACTTACGTGATAGCCTGCCCGGGCAAGGATGTGCTCCGGATCATACTATATAAGTTTTCGTCTGCCCCATGGAGAACACAAGCACCGTGGAGCCTCTAATGCTCCGGGGAGGTCTGCGAAAAGATCCAGCCTCAAAGTCTCAGCCAAACTCGCATTCACAAAGGGAATGGTATCCGTTTTGAAGCAAGTGAACACCACCCCGGCATAGGCCGGACCAAGAACACACTCCGTCTAGTGAGAATATACCCCGGAAGCTATATCAGGATGACAGCGATGGAAGCACCTGTCACGGCGATAAAGTCTTGAGCGGCCGGGATAGATTGCCGAGACACAAACCTACGACCAGAGCGAAACACCGCTGGATAGCTGGAGAAGCCGTGGAAATAGCCGACGATAATGCCGACAGCTGCACCGGCAACCGTGAGGGCATGAAATCACAGTCTCAAGGGAATGCGTTACCTGATTGTGCCAGTAGCTATACCCACGAATGCAATTCCGAAAATGAGACCAAGAATGCGGAGCTGGTCGGGGCGACGCGAGTTTATCATTGTAACACCGCGAATAGCTCAATCATGGAAAGCGATCTAAGGGAAGATGTAGCCCGATTGATCAAGAAACAAAACACGAAAGCACGATGCCAGTATTAGGCACACGGCTTAGGGGAAAAGATAGTCATTCCGGCCGACCAAGGGGATGAGGTCTGCAGACGCATGAAGACCGACACGGCAAGGATTGGAATTACCCTGCGAGCCTTACTGACCTAAAAATAAACACGCCGTGAGACATCTCTGGCTAGGATACAGTGGAACGGTGCGACTGTGAGGGCGTCAGACTCAATTCCAACCTATGAGAGTCTGATTCCCCAATACCACACTCTTCGGGGCGGTAGGCCAATCGGGGGCACGGCCGGGAAACAAGCACATGCATGTTTGTTATGTCAACAGCAGCAAGAATGGCGGAAATGCCCAGGCCAGGGATTGTGCGCCCAACGACGGAAATGTGGAATGATTTTACAGTGGCGGTCACCGAAGCTCCGATAAGAAAAGTCATGCGACGGGCGAAGAACAACCGTGGTGTGGTGGTCCGGTCAAATGCGTATGTACATTACTCTGTAGAGCTCGGCACGGTCGCAGACGAAGCTCAGGAGCTAAGCACTAGGATCAATCTCTGCCCTACACCGACAGCGGATCACGACCGCGGTTTCATATCATAGGCCAATTCCACACGAATGGAATTGTTGAGCGATTCGAGACGGGTGGGAAATGATGGGTGTCAAATTCGCCACACATGTTGAGTCCTTACTGAGTACGGAGTAGGTCTTGGGTGCATTGATAGTGCGAATACCCGCGGAGAGATCACCGCCTTGTCTGACACGACGCCGAGACGGATAGATACGAAAAGAGAGAAAATTAAGAGTAGAGAGAGAGTTTCCCCGCCCTCTTACTCGTACCCAATAAGGATTAGAACGTTCGAACGAAGATCTGCTCCTCATCTGGGGTGTTATCGGGCGATTTGCGCCTGTCAGGCTGTCAGTGTCATGTGTGTAGACTAGATGCCAGGAGGGGAGATGCATGGCCCGTGCTGGGTTGATTGCTGCTGATCGGCTCCAGTTCCAATTTGCTCAGTACTCCGTACCGACCACAACAACTGGCCTTGCCACCGCGATCGACCGAGGAGTACTTGAGTAAATAAATCT